CTCACACACACACTCTCACACACACTCACACACACACACTCACACACACACACTCACACACACACATTCAAACAAACACATTAACACTCACACTCACACACACACTCACACTCACACACACACTCACACACACACACACACTCACACACACACAACCACTCACACACACACACTCACGCACACACACACTCTCACACACACTCACACACACACTCTCACACACACACTCACACACACACTCACACACTCACACACACACACACACACACTCACGCACACACACACACTCTCACACACACACTCTCACACACACTCTCACACACACACTCACACACACACATACACTCACACACACACACACACACACTCACACACACACACACACACTCTCACACATACACACACTCACACATTCAAACAAACACACTAACACTCACACACACACTCACACACACACACACATACACAATCACTCACACACACACACACTCACATACACACACACACTCACACACACACGCACACTCACACACACACATTGGGTGTTTCTGGGCCCCCACCCTGGCTGCCCCGGGCTGTGGGGCCCACGGTGTAAACCTTCACAAGCCTCCCAACTCGGACTGCTGCACGAAGGCCAGGCAGGTGCAGGGCACTGGCTTTCATTCTGTCACATCCCTTCGGGGCGGAGCGCATGGGCCACGGGTTCACCGATGTGAAAGGAGGGCGGTGCGAACGCCTCTCTTCGTGTCCTGCCCCTTGCGTCGCCTGCCCCGCACACACACTCACACACACACACTCTTCGTGTCCTGCCCTGTGCGTCGCCTGCCCCGCACACACACTCACACACACACACACTCACACACACACATTCACACACACACACACACACACACACACACTCACACACACACACTCCCCATGCGTCGCCTCCGCCACCGCACTCCCCGGCAGTGAACGGCCTGCTGGGGGGGGACACTGCTTTCTTAGCCAGTCATTTTGGAGCCTGTCACGTCTGATAGTGTCTGAGGGCTCGCGGGATACGGCGTGTGCATGTCTCCTGGGTGCAGGGAGTGTGCTGGTGCGGCAGCACAGGGGGATGTCCGCGGGGCGAATTCCGTGCCGGAGGGCCGTGTTTCTCACGGGTTCAGCGAGGAGAGTGACCACATGACATCCTTACCCCACCTGCGTGCTCACTCCGAGTCTTCCCTCAGTGCTGCTGGAGGAAATGGGGACATGTGGTGTCTCAGGAAAATGGTGCAGAGAGCAAGCACTGGGAGGGTGGGGGAAGGTGGGGGGAAGGTGAGGGGGAAGGTGAGGGGGAAGGTGAGGGGGAAGGTGGGGGGGAAGGTGGGGGGGAAGGTGGGAGGGGAGGTGAGGGGGAAGGTGGGGGAAGGTGGGGGAAGGTGGGGGGGAAGGTGGGGGGGAAGGTGGGGGGGAAGGTGGGGGGGAAGGTGGGGGGGAAGGTGAGGGGGAAGGTGGGGGGAAGGTGAGGGGGAAGGTGAGGGGGAAGGTGAGGGAGAACGTGGGGGGAAGGTGAGGGGGAAGGTGAGGGGGAAGGTGAGGGGGAAGGTGAGGGGGAAGGTGGGGGGAAGGTGAGGGGGAAGGTGGGGGGGAGGTAGGGGGGAGGTGAGGGGGAAGGTGAGGGGGAGGTGAAGGGGAAGGTGGGGTACGGGGGAAGGTGAGGGGAAAAGGGGGGGGAAGGTGGGGGAAGATCAGAGGGAAAGTAAGGGGGAAGGTGGGGGGAAGGTGTGGTACGGGGGAAGGTGATGGGGAATGTGGGGTTCGGGGAAGGTGGGTACGGGGAAGGTGGGGTAAGGGGAAGTGAGGTTAAGTCCCCTGGGGAGCTGGGAATGGTACATTGTCCTAGTAAGTGAGGCTTAAAGTCCCACTCAGCTCCCTGCTGATGAGGCTTACTACCTTATTTTCTTTGCTCCCTTCCTTTATTAATACTGACTAGTGACCTGGTGCAGGGGCCCGCGCACGCTGACAGGAGAATAATGAGAAGGTGGCCGTAGGGTGAGACTGCCTAGACAGGCCAGACATGCCCGGAGCCAACCTCCTTGTCTCTCCCGGCGCCTCCAGAGTGAGCGGGTCCCGTGGTCGTGGGTCCCTGGCCCTGGCCTGAGGGGATTGGCCTAACCCACTCTCCGACATGCCCCAAAGGACCCCAGATTGCAAGACAGCGCAGGCCAGGCCGAGAGACCCACCGGTGCAGCATCAGGGCTGGAGCGGGACTGCAAGAGGGCTCCAGGGCCTGTTTGGCCTGTCTTGCCAAGTCCCTGATCAGCTGGATCCCAGCTGCAAGCTAACCTACCAGTCGGAGCACCTGCCCCCTGGTGGTCAGTGCACGTCATGGAGAATGGTTGAATAGTCAGACACTTAGCATAATAGGCTTTTTTATATAGGACTAGCCACCTCTCCTAGCATCAAGGCTGTCTGTATTTGACCTGATTTAGAGCTTGCCAAGGGAAAAATGCCTCTTCCCCAGGGATGTCTGTAAAAAAAAGAAAAGAAAAAACAAATTAGAGGGAACTGTTTAACATCATGGCTCAAATGTGCATACGCGTAGCTGCCCTGGATACAGCAGGTGGAGATGCTGCTCAGCCTGAGTCCCCGCGTCAGCCTGGGCCCTGCGGTCAGTGTGAGCCGGAGACCAGGTGTCTCCACTCTGCAAAAGATGGGCCACCCAGACTGTGGGGACCATGGCAACGCGGCACCAGGGGTGCCTGGGGCACCTGTGAGTTGCTACACATACTCTTATTGGTGAATTTTCAAATTCCCAGGTAAGCAAGAAGTATCTCCAGCTCCATTTTTCCCTCCACCCTGCATACCCCACCTGGATGTTGAAATAAATTTTAGATCCAGAATAGAAGCAAGAGACAATGTCTGGGCATTGTTTGGACACAGTGGACGCCACTCTCGCTATTCTTTTGTCTTCACTCGCGTGATGGATGAGCCCTTTTCTTTTCTCACTGGTCCTTCTAAGGGATGGGTGACCCTGCCATTTAAGGGGATTGAGTAGCTGGAACAGGTGCAGACTCTCTGGAGCGGCCTCCAGGCTGAGCAGCCATGTGGCTAACAAGGGCTGGTCCCTCAGCTCTGCTCTCGGATGCCCACATCCATCCCATCCTCTGTGGCTGTGCACCTTTCCTTCCTAGGAACCCTGGTCCTCATTCTGCGGGATCTTCCCTCCTCGTGTTCCTTTTACTTACTTCCCTCCTCACAGCGCAGAGCAGCAGACTTGGAGCAGGAAGGTCAGCACCGTTGTTGGCCCTCCCGTCCTGGCAGAGGGGCTGGTGGGTGCACAGCTCTCGTCCTGCCCTAGGTTCGGTGGTGGGAGTGAGTCCTGAGGGGCGCCGGCACGGACATCAAGAGCCTGATCCGAGGAAGGTCTGATGGCAGCCGAAGCTGGCCTCCCTCTGGCTCTCCCTCGGCAGGTCAGGGCCCAGCTGTGGCAAACAGAGCGAGCCAGGAGGACACGCCCTGGTGCGGGAGAGCAGGCAGTGCCCGCGCCCCTCTGCAGCGCTCAAGGAGAAGGAGATGAAACAGCCTTAGAGCAAAAACACCTGCTTTCAGTCAGCCAGCTCCCCGCTGAGCCAAAGGACGGTACACGTACAGTGAGGTTATGCATCATGCTGACCGAATATGGTTTCCATTTCCCCCTAAATCTTAATGTCCACTTTGATTTCCAAACCCCAGTGTTAGCACTGCTTTGTTAAGAAAATCGAGTTAACAAAAGTTAAGTAGGTAAAATGCAGTGTTAGAAGTCATAGTTTTACCATGGTTTGGGGGCTGCTGTGTCCTCATTGCTCCCCGGAGTCTCCGCCCCTGGACTCCAGCAGGACTCCGGAGAGCGCAAAGCCAGCCAGGAGTTCGATCCCCCTGGGCTTGGGCACAGGCCACAGAGCTGGACAGTTTACCTTTCAACAACACCCGGGTTAGGGGTCCGACCCCTGTGCGGTCAAACCCCGAGGTTCACTTCGGACTCCCCCAAACACAACCACTACGTGCTCCTGTTTCTCTGGATCCTGAGTAGCATTGCATATCCTCAAAACTGAAGGCCTTTAAAAACATTTTTCTTACAATTCATTTACAGTTTTGCTCCGGTTTTACAGGAGCATGTCTGGAAAAATCCCTCAGATGGTAGGATTACAGCTCTGTAAATCCTGGCTGCCCACCCGCCAGGGCCTGAGGGGCCGAGCAAAAGCAAACGTGATGATGGCGGGAGGGAGGACTGCTCCCACCCCAGACACTTACTTCAATGTCATGCATTGTCTTTAAAAAGACGGAAGTAGCACGGGAGACTCACACAGCTTTTTAAATTTAGTGCAGCTTCTGATTTACTCGGAGCCTGCTAAATTCCACTGTGCCCTGCAGTTTATAATGCTGATGGAAACTTCCCATTTAAAGATGAACTTGGAACGTCTTTGCTAGATTTTAAATTGATAAATTACAAGAGTGGCTGAAAGGGAACCAATTTTGATCTTGGGTGAGGACTTCCCGATGTGTGCGCACATGACGTGAACGGGCTGAAATGACAGCCTTCCCTCCACTCCAGCTCCGAGTCTGTACGATGACCTCCCGTGTCCTGGGAGACAGACACTGCGCAGCTGAGTGTTGTGTGCGGGTGAGGCATTTTCCTTCTCAAAGAGGCATGGTTGTTAGGACCCTCTGTGTTTGGTCACATCCCTGACCAGGACTGGCTATGGCACTTTGAGCAAACCACTTGACCCTGGGCCTCAGGCTCCCCATCTGTGAAATGGGGCACAATAGCTCCTACATTACAGGGTTACTGTGGAGCTTATAAGAGCTCATTCTGGCGAAGCTGCTAGATGAGCAGCTGACATGCTGTGCTATTACTTTTATAGTTCTTTTCAGGGGGTACCATTTTTCCGAGTTATGGAAAACCTTGTAGACTCGTATTGCTTGTTAACGGTTGGTTTTCCAAGACATGGGAAGAGCACTAACGGCACGTCTCGTTTCTTGTCCCGGCCGGACAGATCATAGCGAATCACCACATGCAGTGCATCTCCTTCGCCTCCGGGGGCGACCCGGTGAGTACCCGTGGCTTTGTCTTCCCGTCACCTTGTTGGGAGTGGCTGGGAAGGGGCCCTACCTCCAAGTGCGCTTCTTAGTGTGCCATCAAGAAGGTTTGAACTGTCACTTGTTAGCCAAGCACTGTTGACAATCCTTGAGGCCCTGGTTTTCTCAGGAGGAACTGAGAGCTGCCAGGTGCTCCCTGGCGTCTGCCTCCGTCTCTGTCTGCCCTGCTCGGTTCCCGTTTCTCCATTGGGCCTTCACCAGGCCTCTGTTTAAGTACCAGTGATTGAAGGCTGTGAATTTACTTAGTCTATTAATAGTTTATTCATAAATATTGGAAGTTGACATTTTTCTCTCCCAATTTAACACTGTCATCTTTTATTGGTTTGTTTAGCCAACAGGGAGGGAGCTGCAGAAACAGAGAGGGAGACGGGATAAAATGGGAACGTTCAGTTTGTGTCACTTACTTCATGAAGAAGGTGCAAAACAAGGAGTTTGCCCCCATGTGTGGTCAGGAATGTGATGCTCCGATGTTGGCGGCCACTCTCAGTGTCGGGAGAGGCAGGGCGCAGGGCCACACCTGCACACACACCTGTCACCGCTCACCTCGGACAGTCCCGCCCACTGAAGAAGCCCAGGCAGGGATGGCCACGAGGCAGAGGGGCAGAGCGCGCCATAGGAAACAGCCCCGCCAGCAGTGGGTGGGGAAAGGCTCCCCCAGTGCCCTCACGTCACTTTCCATCCGCCTGGTTAGTGATCACCCAGGGAAACACCTAAATGTTAGGACAAAAGAGCGAGCTTTTCTTGGAACTAAGTTTAATCAATTAAATTGTTCAGTATCCTGAGTAGATGTCCTTTTGCTGTTAAATTTTTTTTAATAATAAAAAAATGGTGGCTTATAGTAGTATTTTTGTTATCCTTGTTGTTTTGTATTATTTTGTCAAAATATCCCTGACCGGTTTGGCTCGGTGAATGGAGCGTCGACCTTCGGACTGAAGGGTCCCGGGTTCGATTCCGGTCAAGGGCAGGTACCTTGGTTACGGGCATATCCCCAGTAGGGGGTGTGCAGGAGGCAGCTGATTGATGTTTCTCTCTCATCAATGTTTCTAACTCTCTATCCCTCTCTCTTCCTCTCCGTAAAAAAATCAATAAAATATTTAAAAAATTATCAGTAGGCAATGCTCAGAATTTAAATAAAATTTACAGATCCAGGGTCGCTTGAGTAATTGCGGATATATTACTCCTGTCCCCAGGCAGGGAGTTCTTCCCAGGCCCATGTCTATCTTGCAGACCTTGCCTCCCAGGCCCCTCCCCTGGGCAGCCTGACTGCAGACTGCTGTTGGCACATGGAAGAGGAAGCGAGAGGCGCTTTCCACTGCTGGCTGCAGTCTGCGTTTCCAAAGGGCCTGTGATCATGGGAGTGTCTTCCTCTGGGGAACCAGCACCCCCCACCTCCCTGCTGCAGCCCCGGGGAGGCATCACCTATGCTCTCTGCAGCCCCAGAGAGCTGCAGCCCCAGAGAGGCCCAGCATCCCCCATTTCAGACCCCTGAGCCCAGGGCACTGTCAGGAGGAGGGAGGTGTCCACCTTGAGGATGGCTCTCTCTGCCTTTAAACCACTTACTCACCAAAGGGTGACCGCCACCGTCTGACCTCTCACTCAGTGGCTTTGGTCTTTTCGCACGTGGGGCCTTGTTTTCAGGTCTCTCAGGTGGTTTCTTCCTCCCATCCCCTCCCCTCGCTTCTCTCCACTTCCCTTCCTTTACTTCCCTCTAATCCTTCATCTCACGTTTCATTGGAAAGAATATTGAGAAGGTGGAAGTCCTCCATAGTCGAACCATCATTGTGCACTTGCGGGCTATGCCCAGAGGTGCCTGCGCACCTGTTCTCTGCCGGCCAGGCCGGCCCCCCTCACCCGCGCCTGCACCTGTGGGTCTGGCTCTGCTGAGCTGCGGGGGCCTCCTGCTGGCTGCCCCAGGTGACGGCTGGAACCACAGCTTCTGACCTTTGGAAGTTGACCCCGTTGAAAAAACAAAAGGCAGAAACACTGCCCTGCATTGACAGTCCTCCCCGGAGCCTGGAGCCTGTGTCAGTCCTCATCCCGTGATGATGGAGAAGCAGAGATCCAGCAAACGGAAGCCAAACACAGTGCCCTGTGCGGAAACCAGTTCGTCCTCGGGGTGCACACAGTCTGTGGGCTTTTCTCCGAGTCCCCATCGCTTCTTCGGCAGAAAAGGGAAGCATTCGGGGACCCTTAAAGTAATCCATACTCTTCATGTTCTTGCTGACTTTTTTCCTGTCAGACAGACAGAGAGACATCTGTCAGAAAAAATCAGCAAGAACATAAGAGCTTATGTTCTTCCCGCTTCTCCTGTGACTAGTCACAATGTATATCACATTGTTCATAAATTCTATGCCAACTCGGTTGATAGTTGTTACAGTTGGTGGATGTTTCAAATAAAACCAAAAGTTCTAGATCTTAGTCCTTGTTCTGTTGCCTCGGATATATCTACTAATTGCTCTGTGCCTCAGTTTACCAAGTTAGAAAATAATATTTCAGAATGTCAAATAAGACAGGTTGGAAAACACTGTTAATCCCTTCACACGTGAGCTATAATCTACATAATTAGCCGAGTTAAAAGACCACGAAAGAATCAATACCAGCAGGCTCAGAAAGTCCTGGCGAGGGAGAAAGAGCTGGCAAACTCAAAACACGTGTGGCCCCACCTCGGGGACGCCGTGCGCTCACTGTGTGATGTTGGGGACACTGTTTGGACAGCCATGCACCCTGCTGTGCTGCAGAGATACTATTGGCCTCAGGACAGCTCTGTCCTGACTTGACCACTGGCCATCAGAGTAACAGGGACACCTCACATCTGACAGACTTCCTCAGGTTGGAATTAGAATCTATCAAGAAGAATTTTCGTGTGTATGCCACTAGGGTTAACTCAAATTAAGTTTGTTACCCAAACATGTACAAAAATAAAGTGTAGACTCTCAGGATATACTTTTTTTTCTTGGTTAATCCTCACCTGAGGGTTTATTTATTTATTTATTTATTTATTATTTTAAAAGAGAGTACAAAGGAGGGGGACAGACAGAGAGAGCAACATCGATATGAGAGACATATCGATTGGTTGCCTCCAGCACATGCCCCACCCAGGGCTAGGATCCAGCCTGCAACTGAGGTATAAGCCCTTGACCCAGAATCAAATCCAGGTCCCTTCCATCCACAGGATGGGGCTCTATCCACTGAGCCAAACTGGCAAGGGTGATGGTACACTTTTTACTGAACTGCAAACCCAATCGCACTGGGAAGATCACTGATAAACACAGTAACGGCCGATGGGTTCGCAGCAGCGATAACTTCCCGAGATGGGTACGTTCTGCGGCCGCGAAGCTTCTGCTCTCGGTGTGAGGCCGGACAGCCGCCTGCTCCTCAGCCTTCCCGGCGGCCTCTCTCCTCGGCGCTTCCCCCTGACTTCTCCTCCTCAAGCAGACCCTTCCTTGTCCTCCGTGTGCATAAACGTGACAGAAGTTTGCTTCCTGGGGCAAAGGCATCGAGTCTCCTAGGATTAGATGATGTCCTTTCTACCCAACTTTCTACGACGTGGGACCCGGAACGTAGGAAACCCGCCTAAAAGTCCCGGCACTGACACTGCGCGCAGAGCACGGCACCCGGTGCCACCCACGTGATCCCGGACCTTCTTATCCTAATCTCAAGGTTATCATGGAATGAAAATACAAAACTAAGAGGAAATCCTGGTGACATCTTAAAGGCAGGGGAAGGTCCCTGCCCAACCCTAAGTTTCGGGGATCAGTTTGAGAAACACGAGTGTTCCATGAGGAGCCCCTATGTGACATCTGCACCCAGGGACAGGGTCTCTGATAGCGAGCGGCAAGCCTTGTTGTTCCTAATAGCTACAGTCTTCCCAGGTCCTCCTAATGGACATGGCGGGCAGGTGGACCGGTCAGCGGATACACCCACGGCAGGGCTCTGTGTGGGAAGAGCAAGCAGCCTGCCTGCACAGGAACAGGCCCTGGGCTGAGCCCGTCGCGGGGGCTCTCCTCCCCTGAGTGGCTGTGCCGTGGCATTGTGAGCCCTGGGGGCAAGGATGCGTGGCAGTGTCTTCACCACCCACCACCCTGAGGCAGTGTCTTCACATCACCAGCCTCGTGTGCCCACCTGCGGGCACGCTCCCTCTGCCCCGCCCTCACTGCGGGTCCTGGGAGCCCCTTGGAAAGTGAGGGTGCTCACAATAGACTCTCCCAGCTGCTCACAGCAAGGGACTGAGCCATGCCGCCCAGCCCTGTGAAGCAGGGGCCCTCGGGAGCTGTCTGCACCTATTGTGGGAGCTGTCTGTCCGCGCCAGTGGGACAGACCTTTCCAGCCAGAAGTGTCTCTGCTTCCATGAAGAAGAGGACTATGGTTCCTGTGACTGTTTGGAAACTGAAACCCACGTGGCCCCTGGGCTGCTGAGATGGAGGCAGGCGAGGAGGCACAGGCTTTAGGCAAAGGGATCCAGCTCATATGTTCAAAACACCTTAAAGGAATTAAAATGACTACTGATTTCCAAAACAACAACAAGAAAGAGCCCTCGCCTTTGAGCAGCCCTGCTGAGTGTCCCCGCCAGCGGCTCCCAGGGACTCCCAGGCCTGCAGCCTCGCCAGCGGCCCCCGGTGGCTCCCTCAGGCCGGCGCGGAGCCCTCAGGTGCGGCCGCTCCAGGCAGAGCCGTGGGCAGGGCAGACAGCCGCGGTGCTCTCACCTCGGTTCGCCTGGCTCACTGGGCAGCTTTCCACACCCCGATCCCAGGCCTCACCTCAAGTCACAGCCAGGTCTCCTGGGCCTGAGACTGTCCTTAGAGCTCCCCAGTGACTCCTCCCCCCCCCCCCCCCCCGAATCTGTAATTCACAAGGTCCCGCGATCCCCGCCCCCTCCCCCCCATGGTTCCGTGTGAGAACGGCCCCTCGGGCTGTGTGGACAGCATGCCGTACTGTGCACTGTCAGTGATGTGGCGTCTGCTTTTTTGACAGGACACAACGGACTACGTGGCGTACGTAGCCAAGGACCCCGTTAACCGCAGAGGTAAGCAATGCTGGACCTTGGCACCTCTCCTCAAACACAGGCTCCACCTGAGGTAGCACAGGCATGCCTCTCACTCTGAGCCAGCGCGCTCACACTCCCGGTCACAGAGGCTCCAGGCAGCCGTGCGGCCCCGGGCTGGGTGGTGAGCTCCACCCGCACGCCTGTACCGGCCAGCGAGCTCGCAGCACCTGCCCCGCTCCGAAAGCTGCCCCAGACCTGGAAAGCCGCCCCGCCCCGCTGCACACAGAGACGCCCAGACAGGCTGAGCTCCGGGCCCACTGCTGCGTCTCCCGGAGCCTGGCGCTGCCCTCACACCCTGGCGCTGCCCGCACGGCCTGGCGCTGCCCCCACGGCCTGGCGCTGCCCCCACGGCCTGACGCTGCCCCCACGGCCTGGTGCTGCCCCCACGGCCTGGCGCTGCCCCCACGGCCTGGCGCTGCCCCCACGGCCTGGCGCTGCCCTCACACCCTGGCGCTGCCCGCACGGCCTGGCGCTGCCCTCACACCCTGGCGCTGCCCGCACGGCCTGGCGCTGCCCCCACGGCCTGGCGCTGCCCTCACACCCTGGCGCTGCCCGCACGGCCTGGCGCTGCCCCCACGGCCTGGCGCTGCCCTCACACCCTGGCGCTGCCCGCACGGCCTGGCGCTGCCCCCACACCCTGGCTCTGCCCCCACGGCCTGGCGCTGCCCCCACGGCCTGACGCTGCCCCCACGGCCTGGCGCTGCCCCCACGGCCTGGTGCTGCCCCCACGGCCTGGCGCTGCCCGCACGGCCTGGAGGCCGTGTCCCAGCTTAGGTGCTGTCGCCTCCTGCCCCCTCCCAGCTACCAGGTGGAGTGTGGGGCCCGGGGTGTTCCAGGGCTTTCTATCCTCATGGGCCTTTACTCCTAGACTCTCCTTGCACCCCCTCCCCGATTTGTCACGGAGAAACCAAGCCCCACTCACCGGGGTCACCAGCCTGGGGCGGCCGGCGGAGGCTGCTGCCCTCAGATCCCAGGCAGCACTGTTCGCCAGCAGCTGCAGTTCAGACCCGTCCCACGGTCACCAGCAGCGTCGAAACAGCCCAGAACGATGTTCCCCTCCATCTGGGGAACGATGTTCCCACTGGCTGCCCGTCTTCCCACCCACCTCCCGGCATTTCCTCGTGGGCATCACGTCTTGTTCTGATACTTACACACAGAATCCCTTCTTTTTAAATTTAAATGCAAATGAGGTCTTAGCATGCTATTTTCAAGCCAGCCTGGAGAGATCGGTTCCCTGGCCCAGGGCAGGGCTTCACAGCGATCCGCCCTCAGGTCCTGGAGCCCTGGCCCCATTGCCTCCCGCGGTGTTCGGGGCCCGTGAGGCAGGTGCGGGGGAGCTGGATGCTGGATGCCGCTGTGCACCTGGCAAACGGCACGCAGACTGGCCGGGGCACTGCGTTGCCTTGTGAGTGAGTGAAGGCGACTTTCCATGGAGACTGCCCAGCCCTGGGCTGGAAAGCTGTGGTTTGATGGGCTGCCTTTTCTTTCTTTCTTTAAAATATATTTTATTGATTTCAGAGAGGAAGGAAGAGATATAGATAGAAACCAATAATGAGAGGGAATCATTGATCAGCTGCCTCCCACATGGCCCCCACTGGGGATCCAACCTGCAACCCGGGCATGTGCCCTTGGCCGGAATCGAATCCGGGACCCTTCAGTCCACAGGCCAACACTCCATCCACTGAGCCACACCAGCCAGGGCTGCCTTTTCTTTCTTGAGAATGAAGGTGAGGTCTTACAGAGTGTTGGCTGATAGTCTTCTCTAGGGATGTTGGGGCTCCCCTAGAAGCTGGCATCGGGGTGTCTGGGGACGGGGGTTCACAGATGAGGTCCTCTAACGGTCACAGTCACTCCTGGATAAGGACAAAGGTTCGGGTGGATGGGACAGGGACCAGGTCTCAATGCGTGGAGGCCTGTCCCGCCCCGTGCTGCCATGCTCTGGCTGGCCACTGTGAACCCGCAGCAGCCCTTACATAACGTGTTTGAGGAGCGGCGCCAGGGCCTTACATAACAGGCGCGGAGCTGTCTGAGAGGGCAGACTGGCAGCTCAGCACAGCGCATCCTCCGGAGGAGGCTGTGCCCTCATTGCTGGAGCTGCTGTGCGAATGCGACAAGCCAGGGGCCTCCCAGCGGCAGGACTCCCTGCCCCGGCTCTGGAGCAGAACTCAGCTCAGGCTGCGGGGAGAGTCCTTCCTGCCTCCGCCAGCGGTGCCCTGCTGCTGCCCCTCAGCCCCGCGTGCCCGGAGCCCGAGCGTGCCGCTGGCCCCCTGGACGCCTTACGAACGCAGGCGTGCTGGTCAGACCCACCACCCAGCTGCCCGCACCCTGGCTGGTTGGCCTGCAGCAGCCGTGTTCCTGACTAAGGGCACACCTCTCACCGAGGACACTAACCCACCCCCACCCCAGAGGCCGCCCCTTTGACCGCCCCAGAGCCCCACGAGGCTGGGAGGGGGCGGCAGTCTGCACGGCCCGGCACAGAATTCTGCTTCCGCCCAGGGCTCAGGGCTGTTGAGGTAACCTTGGGCAGTGCTACCGTTTCCGAAGTCGCCAGTGGCTCTGGGCAGTGGTCCTCACGGAGCTACACGCTGGAGCCGTAGGGGAAACTCGGGGCTCAGGCCTCTTCAGAGCGCTCCGGGTGGCCCCCAGGCAGCCCGGCCGGAGCAGGGCCTGAGGGAGGGCTGGGCCCAGGCAGTCTGACGTGGGCCGTGGAAGCGTGCAGGCTGCTGTCTCGTGTCAGAGCCATGACCAGGAGTGCCTTTGCCCAGGGGCCTTTTCAAAGCCACAGAAGTCAGATATACCCCACATCCGGTGGGTGCTGGGCCCGGCTCCCCCAGGGGCAGCGTGCAGTGCCAGGGAGGCGGGTACTGGCTCTGGTGCTGCAGCGCAGGGCACCCTGGCACGAGGCCCTCTGAGATACTTGGTGGGGGACACACTCCTTCCTTCCAATCACCTCTGATCAAATGTCAGGATCCCTGTCACTTACGATCAAGTGTCAGGATCCCGGCAGGGCTCAGCCGGCCGACTCTCCTGCTCCATGTGGCGTCAGTGGGGGCACGGGGTGAACTTTGGCTGGTGGCTGGCCTGGTGTAGAGGGTCAAAGTTTGCTTTGTTTGCATGCCTGACACCTTGGTAGGGATGACCAGACGGCCAGGCCATCCGAGCCTTCCCCTCCTCCGGGAGCCCGAGGGGCCATCAGGCGGCAGGGCTTCTTGCCTGGCAGCTCTTGGCTCTGAGACACCAAAGGGCCAGCTTCCAGGGCTCTGAGAGGCCAGGCGCCGCTCCAGTCCGACCACGTGCACTGTCAGGGCAGCCCCCGGTCCGGTCCGGGAGGGCCGGATCCACCCTCCGGGGAGTTTGCAGCCCTCCCGGCCCGGGCTTGTAGGAGGCTGGGTGCAGGGAGGGGCTCACAGTTTCGCCGTGAACATGACCTCAGAGCATCCTTTGTCTCAGCTCATGTGTCCATCCCAGCTACCTCCTGGGCGGGGCTGCTGTTCTCTCCTCCACCCGCCCGCCTCCCCAGTCAGGCAGCGTGGCCTCTGCCTTCGGAGTCAGATGGCCAAGACATTCTGGGCGGAAATGGTAAATGCTCTTGTCTGGGCTCCAGGTGTCTGACTCCCCATGCGGAGGCCCCAGTGGCTGAGCCAGCGTGTCTCCTGGCTGCAGGCACAGCTCCTCAGGGCACATCTGGCTCCCAGAGTCTTCTGTCCACATCCTTCAGGGTCAGAGTTTCTCACTGTCACAGCTGTCTTTCCCATGGAGATTCCCGCCTACGCATTTTTGCATGTTTTGGTTTAGCTAGGAGTTATGTACAGTGAGAATCTGGCGTCCAGAACCCATGCTTCTAGAGTTAATCTGGTGGAAGGCGAAGGTTCTGGCCCAGCCATCCAGCTGGATGGGACCTTGGTGACGGCCTGAGCAGGAGTCCCGCCTGGGGTGCTGCCCGCAGTGGCCGCCCCGGCCCGCCCCGGCTCTCCAGCAGCAGGGGCTTCCACAGCGCGGCTGCTCTGGCCTCGGGCAGGGGCAGGGCCAGGAGGACTCCGGGAAGGCCTAAATGTCTGTCGCTGGGGGCAGACACACAGCACCTCATCTGCCGAGGTGGGGGTGGGGGGAGTGAGGGTGGCGCCACAGCGCAGGGCACCCCTTCCTCCTGGCAGAGCTCCCCGTGTTCTCAGGCTGCGCCCCTCCAGCCTGGGCGGCCTGGCAGCTGCCACCCAGGGGCGCCCCGCTCTGTGCAGAGAAGGCAGCATCGCGCTGCACTCCAAAGCAGTGCGGCCTCTGTCCGCGCCCCCCGCCCCCCCGCCAGTCCCGAATCCGGGCCTCCTTCCCTGCGTCCCTGCTTCTCCTGCAGCCAGACGTGCGGCCTCAGCCTGGGAACACTCCCTGTGGCACGCCTCCTCCTCCTGGCGCCTGCGTGCCCGGACCAGCCTCCCTAACTTACATCCGAGCTGCTGCCCAGAGGAAGGTGAAGGGGACACGCGTCTGTCCCACCAGCCACGGGACCCCTCAGCCACGGGACCCCTCAACCACTGGACCCCTCAGACCCCTCAGCCACGGGACCCACCAGCCACAGGACCCCTCAGACCCCTCAGCCATGGGACCCACCAGCCACGGGACCCCTCAGCCACGGGACCCCCTCAGCCACGGTTCCCACCAGCCACGGGACCCCTCAGCCACGGGACTCCTCAGCCACGGGACCCCTCAGCCACGGGACCCCTCAGGCCCCTCAGCCATGGGACCCACCAGCCACAGGACCCCTCAGCCACAGGACCCCTCAGCCACAGGACCCCTCAGACCCCTCAGCCACAGGACCCCTCAGCCACGGGACCCCTCAGACCCCTCAGCCACGGGACCCCTCAGCCACGGGACCCCTCAGCCCCGGGACCCCTCGGACCCCTCAGCCACGGGACCCCTCGGACCCCTCAGCCCCGGGACCCCTCGGACCCCTCAGCCACGGACCCCTCTGCCACGGCCCGCAGCGCGCCGGGACGGGCGGGGCTGAGCCTCCGGGATGCCCTGGGCAGCACTGCTCGCGGAGCAGAGGCGGAGCCTTCTCTTGCCTTTCCCCACGACCCCCTTTCTCTGCGGCTCCACATGGTGTGCTACGGGGCAGCGGGTCCCTGAGGGGTGGGCGCCTGCCCCAAAGGGACTGGCGTTTGCTTTTGGGGAGAACAGGCTATTGAGGAGGGCATCGGGGTGGCGCTGGGGGAGACTGCGGTGGAGCCTCGGAGCTTCTCAAGACACACGCACCCCGGGCCCCTCCTCTCTGGCTGACGGCTCTGCTCAGGCCTGTGCAGGGCTGCCCTGACTCAGTTCCGCTGTCCCACAGCGTGCCACATCCTGGAGTGCCGCGACGGGCTGGCCCAGGACGTCATCGGCGCCATCGGGCAGGCCTTCGAGCTGCGCTTCAAGCAGTACCTGCGCTGCCCTGCCAAGGCCCCCGCCCTCCACGACCGGTGAGTGCTCCTCTGGGCGGTGAGGGGTGCTCCCCTGAGCGGTGAGGGGTGCTCCCCTGGGCGGTGAGGGGTGCTCCCCTGGGCGGTGAGCGGTGCTCCTCTGGGCAGTGAGGGGTGCTCCTCTGTCGGTGAGCGGTGCTCCCCTGGGCGGTTAGGAGTGCTCCTCTGGGCAGTGAGGGGTGCTCCTCTGGGCAGTGAGGGGTGCTCCTCTGGGCAGTGAGAGGTGCTCCTCTGGCGGTGAGCGGTGCTCCTCTGGCGGTGAGCGGTGCTCCCCTGGGCGGTGAGGTGTGCTCCTCTGTCGGTGAGGGGTGCTCCCCTGGGCGGTGAGCGGTGCTCCCCTGGACAGTGGCTTTCTGCGAAGTCTCACTTTTTCATCCTCAAACACCAAAACGGACAGAGACAGAAACTCTCCATGTGAGGAACCGCGGCCGCCTCCCGGCTGCGCTCTGGCCGGCCCCGGCGCCGGCCCCGGCGCTGGCCGCTGAGGAACGGCAGCCGGAAGCAGACACCGTGCTCTGCGGTTGGAAAACATTTTCCCGGGAGGATGGCGATAGCAGCCGAGGCCACAGAAAAGCTCCCACCGCGCCTTTGCTGCCTCCTGAGCAGCCAGGTGCTGCTCCCACACGCTCCTCCGTGCGCCCCGGTCCGCAGCCCCGCCCAGAGGCTCGGTGAGCCCCCGGACTGACCAGGCCCACCTGCTGGTTGGCCCTGCAGCTCGGAAACCCACTGTGGCCCTGGCCAAGTTCATTACCAGTCTGGGTCTCTCCTGTGATAGGCGTGTCTCTGTCAGATCAGAAGATGGTGCCTTGGCAGTGCTATGATTCTAAGTGTTAAATAAAATAGTGAACGTGAACAGGAATTGTGAGGTATTTAACATTATACAAATGTTCGGGGTCGACCACTGAATACCTTTAGGGCACAAGGATATTCCCTGCAGCATAGAAAGCCACCCAGGGCACTGGTCACTCAGCCGGCTGTCCTGGACCGACCTCCCGGAAGGCCCAGCTGTCACCGGTGTGTTCACGCCAGGAACACCTGCCTTTGTTTCTCCCAAATTGACTTCTCTTGCTTTCGCTGCCGCCTACGGCCGCATCTGGGACTTAGTCATGAGGCAGTGTCCCTTTGCTTCCATTATTTTGCAGACTTTTGTCATCTCTATGAAGTTTTCACCTTTCTTGAAAGAGACTTTTAATTTTTCTCTCTCATCCACTGGAAATTTCTCTAAAATGTTCCTTTTGGAGGTGCCTGAGGCGGCCCCGCCTTTCCCGCTGCCGGAAGCTCTCACAGGCTCAGGCTGCAGGGTAAGCAGAGTGAGTAAAAGTGACAGTGCCCCAGATGGCCTTGCAGAGGATGAGTGAACAAACTTCAAATTTCATATATAATGGGATATATATAGTCATTACAAAGAATACATCGGCATATATTCAGAAAAAAATGGCAGAGTTTTTTAATGGAGTGAAAAAAAGATGAGCCATTTATGAAAAATTTAAAAACACAAACAATTCTATACATAGTTACTTGTCCAAGTGTGTGTATATGAAAACATGCAGAAGTATCACGCCAAAGTGGGGATGTGCAAGGATGAAGTAGGTGCGGAGTGGGCTTTGACTTTGCCAAGTGCATTTCCTCCCTGACATTTTAGAAAGTAAAGGTACCAATATACAAATAAATAAATAAATAAATAAATAAATAAATAAATAAATAATTTTTTAAAATGCAGTGAACACCTTTATACCATCATCTAGCTTCTACATTAACATTTTACTGTTCATTTCACATATCTATTCATCCAAAGTAAGTTTTGGCAAATATTTTTTCCCTCTGGAAAAAAAGGAAGTACAGCAAAATGTTCACACTGTTTAGTCTCAGTGGTAGATGTGTAAGTATCTTTTATTTTTATTAATTTTGGTTTTCTGTACTTTTGAAATGTTATGTAAAAGTCAAATAAGCACTATTTAAACATGTGTATAAAAATGGGTGGTTGGAGTTGATTGAACTACCATGCTTCCCGGGAATACACGTGAGGCATGAAGTCCTATATATGTTTCTACATAATAAAGTGTAAAGAAATTTAATTTTGTCCCACTGTTCTGTTTCCTCATGTGGATATGTATTAGCACCTGGTCTTTCATTTCAGCCTGAAGTACTTCCTTTCATATTAATTGCGGAGCAGATCTAGTAGTGATTAATTTTTCAGTTTTTTTTTTTTTTATATGGAAATGTCTTATTTTTTGTTTCATTTTGGAAGGATAGTTTTACTGGGTATAGAATAGTTGGTAGACAGTCATTTTCTTTCAGTACTTGAATATGCCATCCCACTGCTTTCTCGCCTTCATTGTTTCTGAGAATAAAGTCAGCTGTGAATATTATTGAAAATCCTTTGTCCAGAATCTGAATGTCCACAGGGGCAATTTCTATTGATTGCTTTTAGTCCTTGTGTTTCTTCGCATGTCTCATAAAATGTGTGTTGTTGAAGTTAGAGATTTTAAATAATATAATGTGCTAACTCTGCAAACAGGTTTCTCCCCTCCTTAGGATTTGTTGTTGCTTTTTTTTAGTGATTGGTTTTTTGTTTTTTCCCCTAAATTTTTCTAAACTAAATCCATAACTCTATATTCTTTGTCAGATATGGCCACTGACAACTCTGTTCAGTTCAATTATTAGAAAACGAATAATTAGAGATTTCCTTAAATCCCTAGAACTCTATGTATGTGTGGGCACCCCTTCAACACTCACCTATGCAGTTGGCTATTCCTCCTTAACTTTCACTTCCTGCCTGGCTTCAAGGTCAACCAGAGGTGAGAGTAGGCCTTTTTGAATCTTTCCAGAGCAGGCATACATCCTTGGACATGAACAGAGTCCTAAAAATACATGTGGCCTTCTAGATTCCTGGAAATAGGTTGAAATTTATCAAAGTTCTTACCGACATTCTATTTTCTAGCTTTTTAAAAAAGCTTTTGATTAGCCTATTTTTTGCCTCAAATGTTATACTGCCTCAGGGTGCCGTGTTGTTAAACAGTTGCCTCTAATTGCTTTTGACAAATGTTCCAGGGTAAGAGGCACTTTTTTTCCCCTTGGGCAAGCTCTGAATCTGTCAAATAGAGACAGCCTTCGGAGTGACCTCTTCCCAGGAGTGACTATTAATAGACAGTTGACATAATGTTCGCTGGGAATGGGGCTTTGAAAGAGACTCAGTGCTGCTTTGCCCCCTCCTACGGTTATCAGGTTTTCTCTATGATTGTAAGCTGTTTGTTTTCAAGACTACTGTGGCGAAGGGAACAAGGCAAGTTAAAATGCCCCAAGCTGCTGTTCTACAGCTTTGTTTATTTGCTTAAAAAACAGAATAAACACTCCCTACGTCAGTGGTCGGCAAACTCATTAGTCAACAGAGCCAAATATCAACGGTACAATGATTGAAATTTCTTTTGAGAGCCAGTGTTTTAAATAGTTAATCCTGTAATTTTAAAAAAATCAGTTCTTTTCATGGAAGAAAAAATTGTTGTTTTCATGGAAGAAAAAAAATTTCAGAGGTCTTACCCTGCCATCTTCTAAAATGTTCAATTTTTAGTTGATTTTGCTTTGGGTAAATTTTATTATTTACTGAAATGTGTGTCTGTGCCTTGAGGAACTGGTTGTCTTTACATGTAAACTTTTTCTTAAAATGTACCTATAAAAATGATTTTTTCTTGTTTCAGATGTGATTAAAACTTTCCAAAGGACAGAATGTGAATAGGCGGGGACATTTGACTAAACCACTGTTATGCTTTTCCTATGTGCCTGAGATCTGCATGGTTGAAGGGGCAGTGACTAAACTCCTTTTCTGGAGTGATAGGTATTAGATGTGATGGTTTTGACTAAAAGCTCAACTTTTGGCTAACGCTCCTGAAAATTCTTTTTTCACAGAATGCAGAGTCTGGATGAGCCCTGGACCGAAGAGGAGGGCGACGGCTCAGAACCCCCGTACTACAACAGCGTCCCGAACAAGACGCCCCCTCCGGGGGGCTTTGCGGATGCATGCCTGCAGGCCGGGCCCCATGGCCCCGACACAGCCCCGGTCAGTTTGTACCTTTTTCTTGGGACGCTGGCTAATTGAACTTTACAATAAACCCGCGATTTTGCAGATCTTGACTTAACAGACTTCGATTTCTTGGACAAAACTTCCAGTCCATGTATCCTATGTGAAAATCACCCTATTAATTTTAAATGCTGTAAACCAATATTTGCTTATAATTAAATTAACAGGTTATATTCTGTTACCAATTCACTGTTATTTTAAATAAATTTTAGTAAACAGGACATATGTTGGAAAAAATGCTGTGATAATTTCACCCACATAGATAAATATTACATGTCTACAACTACAGTCCACATCTTTAAACCCACAGTCACCACTGGCAAAC